AACAGGGTAACAGAAGAAGTAAATATGGTATAATCATCGAAGTCAAGCAACAAAGAGCGCGGTTAGTACTTGAATGGGTGACCGCTTGTGTCTACCGTTTGATGAAGTCGTTTATTTCCCTCTTTTTTTTGCTTGTCTGCACTTGTTGCTAACTTCAGTGCACAGGTGAAAATCAACTGAAACTATGTGATTTTTCCGTAATTTGAAAGATCAATTTGAGGTCATGGACCAAAAACACCTAAAGAAGACGTCTTAAATACGTACATATTAGTGGAAAATGTATGTATTAAAGACGTCTTAAAGACGTCTCTTGGGCGTAATATGTACGTCTTTAAGACGTACTTATGTCCCGACATGTACGTCTTAAAGACGCCTTTAAGACGTACTTTGGCTGATTGGGCCAAGGTGAGCACTTTTACGCCTTGTACCAACTCAACGAAACGATTTTGGATATAGGTAAGTTGGCTAAAATCAACCTATTTTTATCCCAGGAGTCTACAGTCAAGCCATGTCCCAACCAGATTATTTTTCTTAAAAATGCATAAGATGCCTCAGATCAGAAATTATTCATTCGCAAATGATCCTGAAAAAATAACAAGATACAAAAAATATTTCTGAAGGGAATATCTTTCTGGAAAAGGAACTGGAAGTTTCCAGTCCGACCTCTGAAAAGTTGTCACCAAATTTGATAGGGCAACATAGTTGTTCGAAATACTTGCAGGTCACTGATGATGATCAAAAACATCTCAAAACGTGACTCACAGTCACAGAACATGCCATGCCAAAAATTATGAAAATCAATCTCAGCCTACTCTTCTCATGAGCAGAATTATTTTTTCCGAAAAAACGTCAACGCCTTGTACCAATTTAACGAGACGATTTTGGATATAGGTAAGTTGGCCTAAATCAACTTGTTTTCATCCCAGGAGTCCATAGCCGAGCCCTGTATAATGTTCACCTTCAACAATGACGTTCAAGCACTGACTCTGATATATTATATGAACACAAAAATTGTACCTACGCAATGGTGTCTTGCAGAATAGAAGTTATGAGCTATCAAAAATTATATTTCTCATAGAAACTGCTGGTAACCTTATAATATTAGAACCGTGCGTGTTCCCATTAGAAATTACAAATCTTTGAACTGATTTTCTCATACAAACTCATTTGATACATTTTGGATTGAGCATGCATTGTCTGATTGAAACTAGTAAACAGATTCCGCATAAAACCTCTTGTTTTATTATTATCATCATATAACAACTGTCAATCATTGTCATTAATCCTCATAAGATCTATTGAACTTGAAAATATTGTACTATTGAAAACTCACACAAACTTATAGGAAACATTTCATATTGGACATGAACTGTCTGATCCAAACTCGTGAATCATCATGAAAAAACTCTGCGAAAAAGCCTCTTGATATACTAGAAGTCATAACTATATATCCTCATCAACCCTCAAGAAGTCTATAACACATTATATCCTTAGCTTCAGCATTGTCTTTACAAACCTCGAAAACATACACATCTCATTCAAACTCATTAGATACCATTTAGATTAGGCATGTATTGTCCTATCTAAACTTGTGGATCCTTATACAAAAATTCTGCATGAAACCTCTCAACATACCATTGAAGTCATAACTGTATATCCTTATCAACACTCATGAATTCTGGAACACAAACAGCCTCAGCTTGACCCATAGGATTCGTTTCATTTCAAATCAGTATTGTCTTTTCAAACTACAAAAATCTTCAGAACATACACATCTCATACAAACTTATTAGTTACTATACAGATTAGACATGTATTATCTTATCAAAACTCGTGAATCCCAATAACGCATCATTCATTTGAACGTATGGATACAGTCATAACGATGAATCCCTATCAACTCTCATGAATCCTTGAACAAACATTTCCTCATGAGATACATATCTCATAAGAAATGATCAGATACATTTCGAATCAGACATGTATTGTCTAATCTAGAATCTTGGATCCTTATACAGCATTCCCGCATAAAACCTCTCAGAATACCATTGGAGTCATAATGGTATACCCTTATCAACACCCATCAGTTTTGATACACATCAAGCCTCAGCATGACCCATAGGATACATTCCGTTTCAAATCAGTAATGTCTTTTCAAACCCCAAAAATCCTCAGAACTAACACATCTCATACAAACTTATTAGATACCATTCAGATTAGGCATGTATTGTCCAGAATTCTTAGACAGAAATAACGCATGAAACATCATAACATACTTGAATATCATAATTTATCGAACACTTTTCACCCTCACAAAAACCCATGAAATACGTTAAAGATTATATCTATATTGTCTTTTAAAAACTTATGTACTCAATAATTATTTACCGGATTCAAGCTGATAAGAAACCTATAATTTTAGAACCGTGTTTTCATATTTGAGCTCATAAACCTAGAAACTAGTTGTCTTATAAACACTCATTGGACACATTTCAGATTAGGCATTCATTGTCTTATTGGAACTCGTAAATTCTCAGTTATTCTGAGTCACATGAATGCTAATAGAAATCGCATTAAATTAGATAAGGAATTCCTTAGTGAAACTCTAAAATCCTGATATATATTTTTCCTGACGATACCCAATAGAATTCTATTTGTGAATTCCTACACATTTCTCATATATACTAAGGCGCATGAATGTGCATGGAATACTATTCCAATTGGAAGTGGAATATCTTATTGGTGGTCATAGGCTCCTCAAACCACTTGTGCCTGATAAAAACTCTCATACTCCATATTTGTATACGCTTATAAATCACATATACTCATAAAATATCATTAAACCTTTTAGAAAGTTCATGTGCCAGAGATAATGTACTCATACGCTACAGAACTCGGTTATATATCCTTATTAATACTCATATTTTATCTATATTTCTTCATGAGACTCCATAAGGTATTTTTGGCAGGGTTCTCTCATAATATGTCGCAGTATCCCAAGGAGGCCAGAAGGAATACTAGTATATACCATCAGTTGTTGAAAATATAATCGGGAAGTACCTACTTACTGATGCACCCATCTGTTGTTACCAAAAATCTATAGAAAGAGAAATCATGGGCTATGCCCCAGCAGATGTATCTATGAAATATCAGACATACTTGTAGACAATCACCTCACTGAATCTGTATTTTAGATGATCTACACAATTATAGGCTTCAGTATGGTCGTGAAATACATCTGCGCTAAGTTCTTTGCCATGCGGAAAGTGTGACGTCATACGGTCCTTAAAGTTACTCCAAGGTCAACCACTCTTCCTGCTGCATCAGCATTCGCTACAGCATCACTGTCATCGCAGTTGGGGTTTGAAACCGTTGTTAATCTTCTACTCAAATGTCAATCAAATTCGATATTGTTTTCTCTATCCGACCACACTTATTCACCAAGTTATACCATATAATTTCCAATATAAAAACAATGGAAGCTGCGTTTGAGACAATGAAGTGAATCTCAAAGGCTGTATCTTCAAGATATGGTATATGTTGAAAATGGGTAGAATAGAGGATAGAATAGAACATTTATTACATTTTTGCCATGTACATGTAGGTTCGTCAGTCACATTTAATGAAACACAATACATAAGTTATTCAAAAAAACATATAACATTCAGAAGATATATACATTTTAGGCTGGTTAGCGACAGATGCAGAATATAATGTAGTTAGTAATGTAACGTTGAGTTAGAAAAATGCACAGATAGGTGGTAATCATTTCATGGATGTTAAATGCATCATAGAAACTATTTGAGGTTAGAATTTTTTTAAGATCAGTCTTGAATCTCTTCAGAGATTGATTTTTCATTGTCTCAGGCAGTAAGTTGTAGACATGACTCCCGCTATATTTCGGGTGAGACTTCAAGTTACAAAATAGGTAGATTAAGAAGTGAATTATTCAAAACTCTAAATTATCTCTTTTTTCTTTTCTTCTCAAAACCCACATGAAAATAATACATACGTATTTTTCTCCATTGCTTCTCATTCCTCATTGGCCCTCTGGAATCATTCAATTTTAGAACCAAATCACTCCTTCCTTCCAGGATATTGGGGTTTGTGGGTTTATATTGATTTGATGGAAATTATTTATATCCCTGCAGTTCCTTCACGTTTATTCAAATAATAACGATTCACTGTTTGCATATTTAAGCACTTCAGTGCCTGTAAGCAATCCTACTTCCATCAGAAACATTATCTTCTTCAATTATTATAGTAGAAGAATAGGTAGAAGATCTCTGATCTATATGATATACATAACGATTTGTCACTTTATAAAAAAAATGTCACATACTTCTTGTTAATTTTCAGATATTGTACCGACGTGCAGAATGCATTTTTTCATCAAGTCTTTCGAATTGTCGATACCTATGAGATAGTTGTTATCTAACGACTCGTGAAATGACGACATTTTACTGAATAGGCCTGTAAGGATTTCATTCTAGTTGAAATCTCCATAATGTATATTATTCAATCGTTAATGAATTGAATCATCCATCCTGGGTTCGAACTCTTCGAAGAAAAATCATTGTGACTCCAGAAAAACTGAGTGATCGTGAGAATTTCTGAAAATTTCATATTCTGATTCAGATTTGTCCCAGGAATTTAAAACTGTTTTTGAATGCAGAGTGTCTCAATTAGAAATCCAAATCCACAGCAATTTCCGAAGGATCTTGCAATGACCAAGTAGTGTAAAACATGCGAAAACTTGCTACTCCACATACAATATACCATATTGAAACTCATCTTGATACTCCAAATATTCCAGAAGTTATGGCTTGCTTGATGCTGATGGATTTCTCTACACCGAGGATATGTTTACTGATCACTCCCTGACAAAACTCAGTCTTTCAAGAAATGAGGTAATGGATCCATGAATGATTGATAATATCAGAATATATTTGATAAAAATTTATTACATCAGTTGAGGTCGATATTTTTCATGAGATACATCATTGAAATTGACGAAAATGACGTTTAATATCATCTGCTATCTTTTCGGCTATCATGTATGTGGCCGCCATGATATTTCCAGAAATAATTTCTGGCATGACACCAGCATCAACCACCCTGAGATTTTCCATTCCATGAACCATCAGTTCATTAGTAACCACTGAATTGTGTCTAGAATGTCCCATTCTTGTTGTTCCTACTGGATGATAACCAGTCGTTGTCAGATGTCTGATAGCACAATACCAGTAGTCTCTGGAGAACTGGGGATATTGGTCACATCCAGCTACTACAGAGATAAGTGAAGCATTGATTGACATGAATGCTTTGGTGTCAAGTAACTTCAGTGTGTGTTTTATTCCATTATATAATGTATCTATATCGGATCCTTGTCGATCGGATAAATAATTGGGATTTATGATCGGAAAATCACGGGGGTTATTTGATCTCAGAGTGACTGATCCTTTGGATTTTGGATGAAGCAGGGCTGTCATCATGATAAGATCTGTGTTTGGATTATAATCTTTAATATAAGCAGCTATCGTTTCATCATTCAGATTCCGGATTTTATCAATGAGTAAATTGAAACCTGGGGATCCCATTACCATATGTTGAATATCTGGAACAGTGTTCTTACTATCGTTCACATTCAAGAAACCCATAGAGTCGAGATTAAAACTGGTTGTGAATGGTCGTTGAGAATTCAAATATCCCAACATCATTTCATCGAATGATTCATTGAATAAGCTTTGGTTGGTTTTGAAAACCAGCCCAATGAACAAAGGATGATCCTGGAGGTAACTTCCAACAGGAAGATCTTCAATCAGACTTATATTATGTCTCGTCAGTTCCGATCTTGGTCCTATGCCTGATAACATCAACAACTGCGGGCTATTATAAGTTCCAGCAGAAAGAACTACTTCCCTTGAGGCTCCCACTTCATATATCTCACCGTCTTTGATGAATCGTACACCATGCGCCCTTTTTGTGCCATTGGTAATCATCACTTTAATCACAAAGGCATTGAGGGTTACATTTAGATTTGGTCTACTAATAATTGGATCGATGAATGCTCTTCCTCCTGTTGACACTTTATTTCCTTTGATCGTCAATACAACCTGTGATGATCCAATTTGATTTTTTCCATTGAAATCCACCCATGGATATCCCAACTCTCTCATCGCATTTATATAAGTGTCCGTTATAATAGTGGGTTCTGTATAACCAACATCCAATGGACCGGTTGTCCCATGATAAAGAGGATCAGCATTGAATATATGATAATTCTCATATTTGATGAAATATTGAAGAATATCATCATAAGACCAGCCAGCGTTTCCCATCGTCTCCCATAAGTTGAAATCCTCTTCGTTACCTCTTACGAACATCTTTCCATTTATCACACTGGTTCCTCCAAGCACCTTGCCTCTAGGAGCAGAACAAGAAGTATTTATCATTCCTGAAATATAATATAATTTCATAAATCTGATTTTCCGAACAGGGCGCTTGTAAAAAAAAACATGGAAGAAGAAATGTACCCAGGTCCCATGTAGGTCAACTAAATGATATACAGGATGTATAATTGATAAGTATTGCATGAATATTCAACTGAATAAAAAAATGGTTGGAGTCGTATTCTGAACTACATTCCATGAACAACATGAGAAAATTTTGATGACGTAGATTCTGATGACATTCAAATAGTTTGTTATATCCTCATAGAGTTTTCATATCTCATTATATCACTATGTAGTTACTCGAAATATCGACAATGAGTGACATAATATTAGAGATTCATTTCGAAGTTGTAAAACGAATTGCTACCCGGTCTCATATATGACGTTGAAATAAGTTAATGAATTGGTATAGCAACAGTTTGTCATATGTATGACCAAATTGATGTTAGATCGTGACCATCCTATTTATTTTTTTATTTCATTTAGTCATTCATTCAGTGATTCAGCAATAATATACAACAATAAACTACAGTAATATGCATTTCATTTTCAACATAACATAATGAATATATTAATTACTGAGACTAAAAAGGGCTATAGTTAGTTTCAATGTACATAAATGTACATTGATCCCAATCTTCCCTATAACCCTCGAAGAGGTGCACAGTTAGAACGTAAATAAGATGATTACCTAATAAGTATATTCTAATAATACTAATATGTTCTGTTGGCACCAAGAACTGTTGACTATAAACTAATACAAACATGGATATGACATTGAAAAATATTTCAATTTCGAAGCAAACGAGCAGTAGGTACCTAAAATAATCAGTCCTGATTGCAACCAAATATACTCAAATATTAAAATATAAGTGAAACATAAATATAATTCGAGAGAAATCGGAAGGTACCAAGTTTAGACATTGAAATTCGGTATGATATCATTATTGAGTACCAGTAAATTTTTCAAATTTTCCTTGAAATTCTTGAAATTCAATTCCATTAGATCAGCGGGTAAGCCATTAATCAATCTGCAAATCGTGTAAGAATGAGATCGTTGGAACATGGAGCTGGAGTGATGTGGAATTGTGAGGATATTCTTCCTTCTCACATTGACATTGTGTATATCTGTTCTTAGAGATATCCTGCGTGCTAGGCATATTGGTTCTCGGTTTTCAATAATCTTGTGAAATAAACATGCAAAGTGTAGAAACCTTCTATTTGTAATATTTAGCCATTTCAACTCCAAAAGTTTACCAGACACCGAATGTATTTTTCTAATGTTATTTATGAAACGGACGCATCTGTTCTGAACAGTTTGTAATCTTCTGCGATTTTCGTCAGTCAGGCAAGGCCCATACACGGTATCTGCATAGTTGAGATGAGATAGTACCAGGGTTTCGCATAAAGTAACTTTTGTATTTTTATCGAAAATGCTGCGATTGTTGAAAAGAAGCTTGAGTTTGTATAACGCATTTTTAATCATGTGATTCACTTGCTTTGAAAATCTCATGTCCGAGTCAAAATATACACCCAATATTTTTGCTGTATTCACTGGAATCAATTGAATGCCATTAATTTCAATATCCACAAGATTTACACACCTCAATTTAGCTGGTTTGCTTCCGAATAACATTATCTGTGATTTGGAGAGGTTGAGTGATAAACAGTATTTTTCTTATAGAAAAAGATTATCCAAATCCGCATTCAGCATCCTATTAGCCATTTCAACTTCTGATTCTTTAAGAGAAATATATACTTCGTCAGCATAAAAATGGCACTTACTATGGTGTATACACTTTGGGAAGGACAAGATATATATAGAAAATAAGAGTGGACCTAGTATTGAGCCTTGCATGATACCATTGGGGATTGGCAGTACTGGTGACCTATTGAGTTTGTGTCTAACATACTGTCTCCTCCCCACAATATAACTTTCCATAAGTCCAATAGAGTTCTTACCAAAGCCAAAGTTATGAAGCGTTGCCAGCAGTGAACGATGATTGATCCTGTCGAACGCTTTAGTATAATCTAGCAAAACTAGTGTAGTTAACTTATTTTTCTCAGTTGCTGACAAAATATCATCGGTTACTGCTAGCAGTGCTGTGGAACAGCTATGTGAAGATCTAAAGCCGGATTGATTTTCAGGCAGCAAGTTATACCTACTGAGATGCTTTTTAATTTGTGAATTCAAATTTTTTTCGAATACTTTTGATACTGTAGGGAGAAGGCTGATAGGTCGTAAATCTTCGAATTCTTGTGGGTTTCTTGTTTTTGCTAGTGGTATTATGTTGGCATCTTTCCATTTATCGGGAAATGTAGCACTTTGGATCAAAAAATTGGAAATGTGAGTGATGTAGGGGATAATCAAGGGGCAGCATAGAAAAAGCAAATCTATTCCAATCGAGTCATCGCCAATAACTTTAGATTTAATTGATAGCAAGGAACAATAGACAGTATCTCCGTCAATGGGAGAGAAATTGAATTCGAATACTGCATTACGTTTTCGGAGAGATTGTTGAGCAACTCATTATCCGGCATATTGTTGGAATTCGACATAGAGATGAAAAAATCGTTGATTCCTTCAACATTATGCGAAAGTGCTCCAGGTAAATTGCAACTGATTTTGAATATATATTCAGATTTTTTAAATCTCTGAACAAAACCTTCGAAGATTTGTGACTATTGAACTTATATGCCAGATATGCTTATTTTTTGTTATTCATGGCTGTACGTGTAAAGTTCCTATGCTGTTTATAATACTGCCAATGTTCGACTATCTTTGTTTTCTTAAATCGGTCCAGCGCCTTGTCTCGGAGTTTCATTAAAAATTTCATATTATCTGTGAGCAAGACGTTTGTCTAAAATAACTTATTGATATCGAATTGTTGATTGGAATGATTTGTAACAATATGTCAATCATTGATATATCTTTAGATTGATAATGATTCTGAAGATCAAGTGATGAGAGCATCCATGATACCTAGGAAATGCATTCATGCACTGAAGAAATAGAAGTCACAGTCATATCGAAACATGCCATTTCATAGTTGCCTGTATTCAAGAAGTATACCTACTTGAAACAACAGGAGATATTGCCCAGAAATGGTTCATTTTTAGTTTGCAAACACACGTTTTTCAAGTGTACCTATATCTGTATCCGAAATCGGGAACTTTCGATTCATATACTCATTCAATGAAAGAAGATTGATAACAAATAACTAGGTTACCTGTCATGCAATGCACCGTACCTCTATTCTTGTGTGGAGAACATTTGTAAGATAATGATTGTTTGGTTCCAAGATGAATTATTTGAAAAACAAGCATGCCTTGATTGATTATTCTCTTCATTTATGTCAAACATAAAAGGATATTTCACTCGAGAAGCTGCTGAAGGTTTGGCCATTGATAACAGAAATGATTCAACGATGCTTTTTGACGCTGATGACCGTGTCATCTCAGCGGAATCAGAAATTGTTCTCTCGCGTTGTATATCAAAAATTTTTCCCTTTGCTAGAAGTCTCTCTAAAAACAATTCATTCTCATTTTTTTATGGAAATAATCGAATAGATATTCCATATCAATACACTCACTCTGAAGTCACATTCACGAAATTAACATTTTCCCGACAGAATGTCAACATCACCTCAGAAAAAGCGAAACAGGCAACAGGAGCAGTACTCCTCATAAAGACTCGTATCAAATTCGCTTGCAGGAATTTGTGGGTCCATCTCATCAAATCATTGATACAGAGTGTGCTGATGGACTGTGTACATGTATTAGAGAGAGTACAACTCATCTCCTTCAAACGGCCACTGCAACTGTCTACTACAACACCTGATTATGCAGTCAGGATAGAGACAGGCCGTGTGAGATTAAGTTACTTGAGATGGATGATCATCGCCTTCCGAAAATATTCTTTCTCCGTCAAATTGATCTAGTCAACGGCAATGAGCCCTGTTTCATCAGTTGTGATTGGGCTCCACAATTCAAATGTCAACTTGAGTGAGTAGAGTACGCCCTCGGTCTCAGATTTGGCGTCTAAGGCCAATATTCCCTCCATTTGACTGGACAACCTTGTCAAATTCTGGAGATATCTCTCATTGGCGTCCATGTCGCGAGGGCAGGGGGCATTGGGAAACGGCTACTCAGCCGCTTCGCAAAGGCTAACAATGAGAAAGGTCACCCAATCCTGAGGTGGAGTGGAATCCGTGCCGATGGGATGCGTGGTACATGGGAGATGTACAGATAACGAGCCCTCCAGAGAACCAGGCGAAACTCTGGAGTAAACAGCCTGATGGCTCCATCTCCACAACGGGAAGTGGAGAAGTCTGCGAGGCCGCTCGAAAAAGGGGAAGATCCAAGACCAGCACACCTTCGCCGCTCCTTAAGAGGAGTAAACAGAACGTCTCTGCGGAACCTTCTGTAACAAAAGCCGTCAGTACACCAACTGGAGGCAGTTACAGTAGCACCCTGACCTCCTTTAAGATGACAGTGACTACGGGCAACTATCCCGAAGACAAGCTATCTTTGGAGCAGGTGAAGCAGATCCAGCTTCTCATCACGAGAGAGATCTGGAGATGTGAGCCAGGAACTGGCCCTCAATCAGCAGGCAGCTACTCTCAATCGCAAGTGCTGATCCTAACCTGCGAAAATGAGGAATCCAGAGAATGGCTCAAGCGGAAGGTACCTATGCTGAAGCATTGGGAGGGGGCCGCCCTCAGTGTCGATGACGCTTATAAGGTGGTCAAAACTCACAGGGTTATGGTATGGGTGCCAACCTAGTTTCTGGACGTCAAAGAGCCGGCTAGGATCCTACATTTCCTGGAAACCCAGAACAAGGGCATAAAAACAGGAGACTGGAGGATTATCCCCACCAATTCTGATAAACAAGGAATTACCCTTGTTCTTGGAATTGACGACCTCAACCTGAAGAAGTTGGCTAAGAGAGGCTTCAAAGCCTACCTAGGCCTGTCCCAACTCACCTTCAGGACGGTTAGTG